ACTCTTTCATATTGTATAATCTCTCAATGTGGCTGAACTTGCAAAGCAACAATAGTTCTATATTATATATCAAATGTTAGGCTTTACAGCAATGGACCCCAATATCTTCTTCTCCCCCCACCTGTTCATATTCAGGGGATGTCCTAAGGGTTAGGAGAAGTAGTCCAAATAATGTAAAGCCTTTGAACTATTTACTGAACCACTTGATTTTCATATTTACATCCTTTGGTCATCCCAGTAGTGATGGCACATCAGATTAGTTAAGGAGCCCATAACTGCCCCTTACAAAGGGATACAAGGTGTCCCAATGGTGCTGAACTCTTCTTCCTTCTTCCCTCCTAAGAGGACATTCCCAGAAGCTGGAGCCTCAAAGATAACATCTTTGCCACAGCTTGGTCTTTGCAACTCTTTGACTGATGACCAACGACCAGGCAGGTTTCCACCAGACTATTTTTATAGTCTTTGTCTGCTGACATCTTCCTTGTAAGCATCACTGACCTATTGTTGGTGGACATTAAGAGACGTTTTTAATCTACTGGTGGTGTGTGTAAAGATCAACAATAATACTGGATGAGCCCTACTCAGCCATCCTTTCTCTTGAGTTTACCCTTGATGAAACGCGTCGGGTATTTCAACTGAAGATACACTCCTTCTCCTTTCACTTCAATAGCTAAAAAAGGACTTATATTCATATCAAGCTTGTATTATTTACTCAGCCATCTTACATATATGTTTTTTAACTGTATGTGCCTTATCTGATGGAACAATTTTTAAACTGTTTGTAATAAAATGATCTTGTATTTTTATTGTTTGTTGTGTTGCTTTAAAAGTCCCAGTATACATTAAGGGGAGGAATCTTTGTCTGTACTGTTTGGGATGTTGGCAACAATATAGTGACTCCTGAGATGGTTTCACAAACTGACTATTTTATAGAGCCCTCTACCTAACATGCCCCACACTGGCAGGGGCAGGGATGGCACTACCTTGTCCTCTATGGTAACACTCTGCTCACTACCCCTGGGGTCCTCTGCTGGCTATCTAGGCAATTACACTGCCTACTCTCACTACAAGGTCTAAACCTAACTATGATGTCACCTAGTGGCCAAACTGGAGAACTACACTGGGCACTCCTCTATGCAACAGGTAGAAGGGTAAGCCGCAAACTGATTAAGCGTGAGATTGTGTGAAACGTGTTAACAGGTCCTGTATTCATGTCCTGGTGTTTTGTGTGGCCTATGAATCAATAAATATACACTATATTCATCTATCCTCTGGTGTGCGGCTGACCCTTCTTCCAGTTGCATCGTGTGTGGTGGCGAGCCAGAACCTTCACCTGTTGTGGATTGATCTGGATTGTTTGCCTGAACGGTATACCTCTGTTCTTTGGGCACTACTCTATGCAATGAAAAAAAAAAAAAAATTACTTTGCCAGAGAAAAAGCTTTACCGAGGGGCTGTTCGTTTCCCTACATTATAGCATAACTCAGTGTGTTGTTGTACCTCAGTGGCATTTATTTTGAATGGCATCTCAATGCATCTTCACCTCCTGTAGGTGCACCACTATGAATAGTAACACACTAGGGAGGGTAGCTCTTGGGCAGATGCTGCTGGCCCACCTCAATTAGATGAGAAGTAAGCGATTGGAACATGTTTTGTTATTTGTGTGATCAAAGCTCCTTTTAAGAGAGGGTCAGATGGAGTGTCTGTCCCTAGTCCCCTATAGATATGAGTTTGTTGGCAATTCATCTAAGAATGACACTTCAGGCAACCTACATCTTTAGTTTAGACACCTAAAAAGGAAACAAAAAAGTATATGTTTATATGATTCAACGAAAAATAATAATTTTGAGGAAAGTCACACATGGCTATAAGATGAGCAATGGAAACAGCAGTGACAGGAAATGGTTCACCACCATTGTGTCATGGTCACCAGTGCTGAGTCCGGGCTGCTGTTAGAAACCACAGGGCCCCGTGCAACCAACCTGACCAGAAATCCCCCCACCCCCCCCAAAAAAAAAAACACAGTTTGCTATGCTTCAGTTATAAATGAACACAGAGAGTGATTGATACCGAACACTTATTGTGTTCATTCAGGAAAGAAAGGGGCTGGTAAATGTGACATATTTACCAGACCCTTCCCCCGCTCTCTATCCGGTAGGATCCTATTGTCTGCTTGCAGCTGCAGGTGGAAAGGAGAGGAGGGAAGCCAGCAGCACTGTGGGGGCACACAGGGGGACCTGGGCAGAATGGGGAAACATATGGTGCACAGGGAGGGTTATGGGTGCAGCAGTGGGGCAATTACTGGAACCAATCCCCTGTATGGCTCTCGATACAGCAGCTGAAAGTCAGATTTCAACTGCTGCATGGAAAGCCAAACAGGAGATCTGTTCTAGTAATTGCCCTTGTCATTGTGATCACCCTCCCTGCCCACATCTGATTCACCGAGCTGCCTGGGCCCCCCTGTTGGCCTGGGCCCCATACAGGAGGACTGGTGGTACCCCCTTATGCATGGCCCGGTCTGCAGGCACTTTAGTTTGCAGTGCAGGGAACTCAGTGCAGCATATTTATGCAGTTTGCAACCACACATGACCCCTACATTTATCACCTATTCTTACCACTTATCAGCATACTAATAATTATAAATATATGTATGTTAAAATGGCTAAGAGTGAGAACCCACATTAGGATTTCATTGCTACCTGGGGCTTCGTTTGAGAAACTTGCCCACACTTCTTGTCATGGGACAATAGTTTCACCAGACGGGAAGTAAAGAAAATTCTGTAACAGAGACACAGACAGAAATATCATTGTAACTACAAACAAACAGAGGCCCTAAGCAAGGGGGACCCAAGAGCTTGCAGTTAGACAGTCCCGAATGAAGACTAGTTGGGTATTGCACCTGACTACCCTCTCCCCTTATTTGGCCCAGGGGTATAGGAGTACTCACACTGTCCTCACCTGTCAGTGTGGTGGGCTGGTGGCTGCCTTCAGGCCTTACGCTGGGCTGGCTCCTGACCTGCTAACAGGTTGTCCTCCCAAGGAAACGTTGAGGCAGTAGAAATCCTCCCATCTGACTTTGTCCTCCTGGCTTGGCTTTTAAAGGCGCTAAGGCAGTCAAAAGGACATTTGACAATGGGAAAATTGTTTCTAGGAAAGATCAGGTATGTACCAGGGGCAGACTGACCATTTGGAAACTCGGGCACTGCCCGAGGGCCTGGGGTCAGTAGGGGGCCCCATGAGATGTCCCTGGTACCTTTTTCATAGGCTTTTTTGAGTTCGGGCAAGGACACAGGGGCCCCATGATCCCCTATTGCCTGGGGGCCCCATGAGTTGTCAGTTCGCCCCTGGTATGTACCAAGCATAGTAAATAGGGAGGCACTTGTATTATATTGGTAAAGAATGCCTTAGCCACTGGCTACCGGATCCCCCACCCCCTTCCTTCTCTCCCTCTTTCCCCTTCCCCTCTGTCCTTTTCTCACCGTTCTTACTCCTTTACTTTTCTAACACTCCCTTTTTCTTTTTGTCATTAAAATTGATTTCTGAGCGATCACTCAGGTTCACGTTACGGCTTGTTGGTCCTCACTGGTACTTCTGTACTGTTTGATCTTATGGACCCTAGATTTTTTGATTGGATCTGGTATTGATCTTGTACATCATTTGCTGCATTCTGTAAACAGTTGTTATCTCTCGTACTTTGTGCCTTATTACTAAAAATTTGAAAAAAAAAAATTATTAAACAAAAAAATAAATAAATAAATGGAAGGTGCTACAGGATATTTTGACTGGATTTCAAAGGCTCACAGCCATCAAGCATGCTTCTTTGGATAGACCTGGTATATTGCCCCATATTGGGCTATCTTTCACATCTCAATCCTGATTTTTATCAGGTCATCAACACTTTCTCACGCAAATTCCTTGTGGTCATCGCTTTGCACTCATAGTAGCACTACCCTATCAGTACCAACCAGCAGGTAATCTTGTTGACGGTACATTTGGGCGGGGCCCCTTCAGGAAGCGTTTGGGCAGCATTTTTCATCCCCTGGTCTCAGTTTTTTCTTCATTAATTTTTGTTTCATCATTTTTGCCTGAGATATATGAGAAATACGTGGCTGTGTTTACATAACAATTTGTTCTTAATATTTCCTGGTGGTTTTTACCTCACATGGAATCATACATCATGCCTTCTTGAGCACTTCTGAAGAAGAGATTTTTGTTGATCTCGAAACGCGTCAAGTACGAACCATGCATGATCCATGATTAGATTTGCAATACCATCTCTGATGATACTGCCGCAATATGTATTGTAGCTTTATATTTATTTTTGAAGATTGTAAAAATAAAATTTCATACTGTTTTCCTAAAAAATCTCTTTTGAATTGTTGAAATTTATCATACAAGTAATATTGTGCCGTTAAAGTCCCACCAAAAAAGAGGACCTTTCCCCACCTTGTATTCGTTACGGATGTTGGCACTTTGTGCATTATATCCCTTCCTCTCTCTACTGGACCATTGGAGGCACCAGAGGAATGCAATGACTCTAGCTAGGCCATGCAGGCTAAAACAAAATTTCTACACATCTGAGTTCTGAGGTTCTGGAAAAACTTATTCTATTAAAGGGAAGGCCCTCTCTGGCATCAAGGTAGTGTGAGAATGAGAAAAGGGTTCGTTAGGGAGTGTGCTGGGTAGGTGCAGTGTGGTGTGGCAGGCAGTAAATACACAAAGTGTCCTGATTTGCCAAAAATGATGTATTGGATAAAGAATACCACAACACAAACAGGCCTGGGAGGAGGTTCACCCAACCGGGTCACTTACAATGGTTCTGTGCAGAGACAGCGGTATGTAGACTCAGACCTGCCGACAGCGTCTGGAACTAGAAGCAGCCTGGACAATCCAACCCAAAGGGGAAGCTTCCTGAGAAGGTAGACATAGTCCCTGTTCTCTCTTACTTTACCGGAACACCTCCCTACAGCGAGTGCTGACCAGGGGCAGACTGACAACTCATGGTGCCCTCGGGCAATAGGGGATCGTGGGGCCCCTGTGTCCTTGCCCAAACTCAAAAAAGCCTATGAAAAAGGTACCAGCGGCATCTCATGGGGCCCCCTACTGACCCCAGGCCCTCGGGCAGTGCCTGAGTTTCCAAATGGTCAGTTCGCCCCTGGTGCTGACCATGACAGACCGGTAGCCTATCCCTACAGTAGCCACTCACATAAAGCATGCCAAATTTTAGAGACAGAAACTTAAATAGACTTAATTCAAGATGGCCACCAGGGTTTAATGGGTCAAGATCCTCCAACTGGATCACTGTTCCATGTGACCGAGAAAGTCATAGAGAAACCCAGTTTCTCTCAGCTTCTCCCAGCTGAATTGCCACTACAGTCAAGCACCACCTGCAGTGGGTGGACTGATCATTTGGAAACTCGGGCACTGCCCGTGGGCCCGGGGTCTGTAGGGGGCCCCATGAGATGCCCCTGGTACCTTTTTCATAGGCTTTTTTGAGTTTGGGCAAGGACACAAGGGCCCCATGATCCCCTATTGCCCGGGGGCCCCATGAGTTGTCAGTCCACCCCTGGTGGAGAATATAGACTGCACCTGCATATAGGTGAGCGGGACCTAAATAAGTCTCATTGTAGCTTACAAATCACTTGACCCAACATTAGGTCATTTAGAGATGTTTCCCTTCTTTGGTTTCAGTTTGCATCTCCAAACCTCTTCCTGAATTCATTTTCAGTTTTCTTTTGTCATTTTTGTTTCTGGACTGCCCTGCCTAGAATGGGAAGACTGTTTTAAGAATGTCCACAGATTTTATTAACTTCTCCCACTATCCCAGTACATGGGTGATAACATCCATTCAGGTTTGACTTCATCTTCTAACCTGGGCCAGAATCACAGCAACTGATTTGTTCCTCCAGACACCACAGACAGTTTAATTGCATTGGTTTATATAAACTCAAAAAATTCTAAAAACAACCTCCTGCGCTTGGAATCCTATCCTTCAAAAGCTGCCGACACCAAACTTATACCCAAGTAAGTGAATGATCAATTAAAATAAATAGTGTAGCGCTAATAATACTAACAAATTACGTGTTAAAATGCACAAACTCTGTATACATCCCTTACATATATATATATATATATCCAAGGTGATAAATCAATACATAAATAATAAAATAGTTGTGTCATACGTGAATTCCCTCTCGGGGAATATTTAGTGAAAAAAGTGACAAACACACTCCTATTTGCACATTGTGAAACAATATGTATACTGGTGCACAAAATTAGTGAACAAATAATCAATTCAAAAAGTCCAAAATGATATAATAATAGTAATACGATAATTTGTGATGATCCTCACACTTCACTCTTCATGCAAGAATATATAATGTGCCGTATACGTGGTACACACGTGCCAATCCTTTACCAGCCAAAATACCCCCTCACCTCCTTCAATAGACCCCACAGGGTCAATACGCTTTGAGGATCAAGTGATCCTTTCAGAATGGGTCCCTCTCAGGCTTTCCCCTCACGTCTCAAGCCTCCAACAGACTAACAGCCAGCTCCTCACAGGATCATGATAAGACACAGAGACCCTCCATAGTGCAACCGGTTTTTATTACATCAAATTTAAAACGACAATAAGTATTACACTCACATTTGCCCACGAGTTTTCCAGCTTTTTACCACATGCTATGGGTGTACTGCATGGGTGTACTCAACAGGGTGATCCAATATGGCCCCCACGCCAGAAATGACGTCACCGTTTTCCAGTGTGGGGGCCATATTGGATCACCCTGTTGAGTACACCCATGCAGTACACCCATAGCATGTGGTAAAAAGCTGGAAAACTCGTGGGCATATGTGAGTGTAATACTTATTGTCGTTTTAAATTTGATGTAATAAAAACCGGTTGCACTATGGAGGGTCTCTGTTTGTGTCTTATCATGATCCTGTGAGGAGCTGGCTGATAGTCTGTTGGAGGCTTGAGACGTGAGGGGAAAGCCTGAGAGGGACCCATTCTGATAGGATCACTTGATCCTCAAAGCGTGTTGACCCTGTGGGGCCTAATGAAGGAGGTGAGGGGTATTTTGGCTGGTAAAGGATTGGCACGTGTGTACCACGTATACGGCACATTATATATTCTTGCATGAAGAGTGAAGTGTGAGGATCATCACAAATTATCGTATTACTATTATTATATCATTTTGGACTTTTTGAATTGATTATTTGTTCACTAATTTTGTGCACCAGTATACATATTGTTTCACAATGTGCAAATAGAAATGTGTTTGTCACTTTTTTCACTAAATATTCCCCGAGAGGGAATTCACGTATGACACAACTATTTTATTATTTATGTATTGATTTATCACCTTGGATATATATATGTAGGGGATGTATATAGAGTTTGTGCATTTTAACACGTAATTTGTTAGTATTATTAGCGCTACACTATTTATTTTAATTGGTTTATATAAACTGTCCCCACAAAACCCTTTACTATGCCACAATGAAGGGAAATGTACACTGTCATTTTAGATGGCAGATTATAATCACCCAGGAAATGGTTTGTAACTGCATAGCAACAGCTGACTTGTTCCAAAGATTATCTGAGTCACATGTGAAATCGTCACCCATGGAAGAAAAATATGTTTAAAATATATTTTAAAAATGTTTTTCCCAAATATATTGACATATATTTGAAATACTACCATTTTGGCCATATTCAATATATTTTTTTAAAAAATATATATATATATATATATAGACTGTACGTTGAAATGCGTTTTTTTTATGTATTAAAAAATATATGAAAAATATTTTTAAGAATACATTTTCAAATTCATGCCTTTGAAAATACATTTACTCTACATTTTTTGGAATGCATTTACAAATATATGTAAAAATATATGTTAAAATTACTTTTTTATATGTCAAAAAAATTTGAAGAATATATTTGAAAAAATATAATTTTAAAAAAATGCCTTTAGAAAACATTTAAATTTACATTTTTTTTAGAATGCATATTAAAAAAAATATTAGCGTAGGCCAATATATTGTAAATATATGTCATATGTATAATTTTTTTTTCTAAATATATTGGGAATATATTTCTCTTCCATATGGGTATGCCCTTGTCATTAAAGAAAACCTGCCTGAAAGAATTCATAGAGAATAAATCAGCAGAAATTATTCACTTTCAGCAAATCTATATACCCCAAATCTGTACATGCCAAATTTCCAAGGACGAAGGAAAAAGGGGAGATATTTATGATATGCAAATATTAAACACCAACACATGAATAAATTATTACAATTTTGTTTTATTTTTAAACTTTTTAGAAGACAGAGAGGTGTCATACTTACTGATTTTCCTGATTTTATAGAAAGATCCGTTACAGTCTTATGATTATATATGGTACATCACAGATTATTCTGCATATGTTGATATTCATCCAACACGTTTTATGGAATATTGCCCACTCTTTCAAGGACACATATGCAATTCAAGTGGTATGTTTCGAATATATATATATACAGTATATATATATATATATATATATATATATATATATATATATACACAGGTCTCATGTAATGGAGCTTCCTAGATTATTTGGAAATGCAAGTCTTTAACCAAAATGAGGCAGCTGGTATGAAGGACCGCTACAAAAGCAAAATAAAGGTCGATTAATAATTTTCAATCAATAAATAGCAAGATCCCAAAGATGTAACAAATCCCCAATGTGTATACCTTGAAGTCCTTTCCAGGAATTATTCTTATGTTCAGCATGTAGAAGAAAGGGTACTAAGAAAGAGGTAACATAAGAGGAGCCAACCTGTCTGGTGCCAGACATCCTTTCCAAAGGAGGAGTGCATGCATGCAGCACTCCTCTCCTCTTTTCTGCTGTCGCTGGTCACATGTTGCACATGCCAACGTGATGACATCAGTGGCGCCGCACAATTATGCCACAGGCTAGGCTTTTGGGATCTGACTCTTGCATTGTATCTATTGGGAGTTATTTATCTACGATTATTTCACTCTTGTAATGGTTCTCTATATTGTGTGATTTTCTAACGTCTACTGACAGAAAACGACTTGCATTCTCAATTAACCCTATGAAGATCTGTTACATGTTGAACAATACACAACACAACAATTAAATTATGTATGTTCAAAAATTACATGATATACTGTATCTGTTTATCTTTATCACTTGCATCATGTATGCATCCATGAGGAAGTGGACTTCTTTTCAAGAAACGTGTTGGATAAATATCAGCATATGGAAGATTATTTGTGATGTATGGTATGTATCTGTGAATGTTAAGAGAGTTCTCAATCTTTTATGAAATAAACATTGTAATACTTTCATTCACGTGTTAGTGTTTAATACTGTATTTGTATATGATAGATATTCCCCTTTTCTCTCTTGTTGGAAATTTGGGCTAAAGAAAACCTGGCATCTGACCCACCAAGGTTGCTGTCACCTGACCCACATAGCCTGCCATACAAATGTGTCTATTGGGAATCTCACTTTCCCTTGCATACATCTGGCTTTCCATTGACACAACAGGACCCTTCATCTCAGACTCTGACTACATCACTACATAAGTGGAGAAAGCAGAGTTTGAAATGAAGTGTTCCACTATGCAAACAAGTCCCACAGCCCAACACTGTGATTGGTGCTTCAGGAACCTTCCTTACAAACATGACTATTAAGGTGGAGTTTGAGAGGAAGGGTTCCACCCCACCAATTACAGCACCAGGCAGGAGGACATATCGGGCTGTTGAGGGGCTTCCCAACTTGGAAGGCCCTAGAAAACTGCCCCAAGTGGCCCTGGTAAAAGCTGAAATGTAGTCAATGCAAAGCCACAGTGCTCGCCTCTAGGCACTAAGCCACTGCCTTTTAGATGCCTATATGTTGCTCATAGTGTCTAACAACACAGGACATTCTGTATACCAAGAATAACATTCAATAAAGTTTAGCTCCAACCAAAATTGTTTATTTCCCTTTGGAGATATTAGTACCCCTATTGGGAAGATTTCTCTACACTTTACAGATCCATTGAAATTTCACCAATAGTAAAAAAAAATTAAATTGCCCATGCCTTCCTTTCTTGATGACAATCAAACCCACATTTTTGGTACAGGAAGTTGGAAAATCTCTCAAATTGTGTTAGAGACTGAAATAATAA